GGTTGCATTTTGTTCCTTCTCGTCATTTTGTGTAGCACTGTCTTCTGACCTTTGTTGTAGATCTTTGCTGTAGTTATAGCCTTCGCACGTACTGAAGTTCAGGTGGAGCTCTACAAAGTTTGGACTTATCCAGCTGCGTCTGGCTTGGGTCTGGTTGCTGTGCTCAGCTCCTTCCCACTGCTGACCTTGAGGGTGAACCTGTTGTGCCCCTGTGGCAAGATGTTCTGCTCCTGGATTAGCTGGTTGGATCTATCTTCTACACTCTCTGCAGGCATTGCAGCTGCAGGATTACTCCCCAGGCGTGTATGACAGGCCTGAGCTGTGCCTGGAGGGGGCAAGGTGAAGTAGGGGGAAGAGGAAGCTCTCCCACACACTCACCGGACCTGGGCTAGGACTGGGTCTGGGGGTTTCCGGACCCGGCAGAAATTCCTACTTGGCGGGCGGGGTGGGGGAGGTACTGCGGAGTGATGGGGCAGGCCCAAGGGGGTGGGAGAGAGTCCAGCCCACGCTGCACCTGGGCTGGGACTGGTCCCACCGGCGCAGAGTAGCATGAAGCTCTCCACACACTCACCGGACCTAGGCTAGGACTGGGTCTGGGGGTTCCTGGAACTCGGAACTCTGCAGAAATTCCTACTCGGTGGGTGGGGTGGGGAGTTACTGAGGATTGGTGGGGGGCGACCCAAGGAGGTGGGAGAGGGTCTGGCCCATGCTGCGCCTGGGCTGGGAGTGGTCCCGCCGGCGCAGGGTAGCAGGAAGCTCTCCACACACTCACCGGACCTGGGCTAGTACTCTGGTTTTTGGTTTTTTGTTTGTTTTTTTGTTTTGTTTTGAGGCAGGGTCTCACTGTGTTCAATCTAGTCTGGACTCATTATTATAGCACAGGGTACCCTCTAGCCCATGGCAATCCTCACCTTGGCCTCCCAAGTGCTGGGATTACAGGCATACATCACAATACCTGGGATCCTTGCTGATCTTGTGTTGTGCAACATAATGAAATTTATTTTTATGAAGTTTTTGTAAGTTTCTTGAAATTTTCTGGATAATCATGTCATCTTCAAATTCCAAGAATTTCACTTCTCCTAATATATTTATTATACTTCCTCGTTTTCCTCAGTGTGTTCCCAATAACATCCTCCTCTTCAGTTAAAAACAATAATTGTGGGAGTGAAAATTGTAGTCACATTACTTATTTTAAGAAGAAGTAACTTAATCTTCCACTATTTCTAACAGTCTTTTATAAATGATCTCTATTTGTTTAATTTTCTCCAATACCTAGCTACTGAAAATCTCTGTTAACATTTTTTTAAAAACTTATTTATTTATTTGGCTCCGGGTCTCACTATGCAGCTCAGACTGGTAGTGATCATCCTGTCTCAGCCTCCTCACCACTGAGATTACACGTGTGCACCACCACACACGGTTTTGGTGGCTAGCCAAGCATGTCTAGGATGCTGGGACTGACACGGCATGCAGTATGAATACCAGGGATTGGACCCAGGTCCTTGCACTTCCGAGCAGGTGCTTAGGTTACTGAACTATCTCACCAGCCCCAAATTGTTGTTGTTAATAGTATTCATTATTGCAAACACTTTCTGTTTCAATTGCTAGACTTGTATGCTTTTTACCAAATCTCCTGATATGATAGATTGCAGTATTTGGATTTTTGAATATTAACTAATCTTGAATATCTTTTGTAAATCCCTTTGGTCATTATTATTTTATGATTTATTGTCTTTTATTTTTAATTATTTAAAAATGTCTAGCATTTATTACATATTACTGAATGTTATCTGTTAAAATTTTATTAAGAATATTATGTTTTTGTGCTTGAAACATATTAGTTTATATTTTTTCTCCTTATTCATACTGTTTTCAGCTCATTTTGTGTCAAGTAATACTAGCCTCACAATATGAGTCTGTAAGTGTATATGCAGTCTTATATTCTGCAAATGACTGCTCAAAATTGATGTAATTTCTGCTTTACATGCTGCTAATATTATTTTCCAGTCAATTGTTATGAGCTTGAAGATCATGAGCTTAAAGATTTTAAAATTACAGGCTCATTTTCTTGAGGGAACCATTCATATTATCTGTTTCAGGTTAAGTGAGTTCCAACAGTTTGTACTTTCCAAGGAATTTATGACATTAATTTTTTTCTACTTTCATCTGTCATTGAGGAAAGACCTTCCAAAAGCTCCAATCATAAGTTTGGAATCATACTTCCATTTTAGTCTAACAATTTTAAATTTTTTCTATTTTGAAGTTTTGTTATTTACTTTACTCAAAGCCCATATTTTTGTATCTTTGTGTTGAAGTACTATTTTTTATTATTTCTCTAATATTTCTTGACATTTTTGATGGCTCCTTTGACATTAAATTTCCAATATCATCTGTAAACTCTAAGAATATCAAACACTTATAACAGAATGTCGCATAAAAAAGATTAAACATACATAGAAATGTTAAAAATAAACTTTTGTAATATTATAAATTGTTGATAATTGTATATAGTCACTCATATATACAAATGTACTGAATTGGCAAGTATATAATGATCAATGTCGTAGTCACAGAAGATGGGAACAACTGTGTAAAATACAAATGTACTCATTCATTTGATAACTATTATTTTAATGTTAAATTTTTTAATTTAAATTAATGGCATGTTTGAATATTATTTTTCAAAAAGTTAAAAAGTACTCTGACATTTTCAGAAAGAATGAGACCCTTGAAAATTAAACGAAGACGACGTGCTCCTCCTAACAAAAAAGGCCTTTGGATTAGTTTCTTCGTTTTTCTACCTTTCCTCATTTTATCTGCATATTTTGTCCTCAAATGGAACAAAACGAAGGGTCACTGGCACAAAGCAGCAATCATAAGTGAAAAGTATGTAAATGAGTATTAATTTTTACAAATGAAATGTGGGAAGAATTTCAGTGCAGTTCAGAATATGACAAGTAAGGATTCCTCATTAGTTTTGGTTTATGTTTAGAAACACTGAGCAACAAGATCTCGTTGCACAACCTGTTTTTAAATCTCAGGCAGTCAAGAATCCTCCATGGCCCTACAGAGTCTTGAACAGTTGAAGGTATTCAGCAAATCTTTTCAGGTAGGAAACCATAACAGGGGCCAGCTAGATAGCTCAGTGGACTAAAAGAGGGTTCAGTCCCCAGTGTGCCATCTTGGCCTGTGCACTGAGACTAATTGAGACAGGGTGTGGTGGTGAACGCCTATAATGCCAGTGCTTAGGAGGCTGAAAACATGAGAATCACTATGAGTCTGATCTGTGTAGTGCAGACCCTGTAGACTCTGTACTAAATACATAATATAAATAAATTTTAAAAAGAAAGCCATGACAGATATCACTGATATAGGAGTGTCTGTGGACTTCTCAAGCAATATTTTCTTCACCTTGGCCATCATTTGTGCCAAGGTAATGAACAGAGACAAGCAGGGAAGAAAATTTTGTAGAAGGCTATATAAATGTAGCAAAGATAGGAGATAGCCTCAGCTGAGGGAGAAAAAACAGGTAGGAGGGTGCTTTTTTCTCTGTTTTTTTTTAATTTTTTTGTACATAATGAATATTGTTTCTGTGTTTCTAAAAAAATAAGCCATTTGCACATCTTTCTTAACACTAATACAAGCTATAGTTTACTCCATGAATATTTAGGGAAATGAAAATAGAGATTAGTATAATTGTCTCCTCTGAATTTCAACAATACAGATGAAGGGGCTGGGGAGATGGCTCAGTAGAATAAGCATTTGCCTGGCAAGCTCAAGGACCTGAGTTCAGTCCCCAGTTCCACAAAAACAACAAACAAACAAACAAAAAAAAAACAATACAGATGAAGATAAAATAATGATGTAAATTTTCCACTAAAAATTTCCATTAATTGCTTTACCAGCAATTATTTAATTTCAGTGTAGTGGTCTGGATAATCTGGACTTATTTACATATTTATGTGATCATCAAATTGTTGTACAAATTGACCTAATTGGATGACAGCTTTCACAGATCTTCCTGTGCTTCTTCTAAGATATCCTGGAAAAATCTGAATAGTTGCTAGAAATAAACCTAACTTTTAAAATATCATAACAAGGTTAGTTTTGTTTTAAGTGTCAACATTTGCTCATGAAAGCCCACTTTACAACAAAACCAAGTGGCTTCTAAGCTTAGTAAGAAACAAAACACAAGGGGAAAAAAGAAATAGAAAAAAGGAATGGTAAGAGCTGGGGCGTCAGGAGCTAGTCCTTCTCTCCATCCCTCAAAACTCTGCCTGGCCTTGGCTTTTCTTGTGTGGGTCCCTTCTGCAGCTGCTTTCCCAGTTCATCTATACAAGGTCACTTTAGTTTTTATTTTTAAGTAATCAGGGGTACCAATCTCATCTCATCCTCTGTGGCAAAGGAATTATAGCCATATCATTGTATCTTGGGACACCATAACCCTCCTTTTCAGCAGAAACCACATGGATAAAATGTTCGAGGAAAATGGGAATCTGAATAAATATCACAAAATATTACTAACTAGAGGCCTCCTTGGATGCCTCACTAATCAAAGTGAATTTGCAATCCATATAGTTACTTGTTTGCACATTGATTTGACAGAAATATTACAATTTTAAGCAAATAACTTAGGAAATTAAAGAGGTATATATGTTTTTTAAAAAAAATTTTGGAAGGCTTATTGGAGCTATATTAATACTTTATCTTTCATGGAAAAAGGTAAAGGAAAATAACAAATTTTTACTTTTGAATTCTAAAAAATGTTTAACTTACATTTTTAGAATTGCATTAGAAAAAAATAGTACAAATATATGAAATCTCTGTGGAACATTAGAAGTAAAGTGGACATTGGTACATACTAACTGATTAATTAATACAAATGTAATTTCTTTTATTGATTTTGTTGCTTTATATTAGTGTTTCTCCTAAAATATGTTTCTCTTTTATACAGCTCTTTACCAGAAGACAGCAGTGATAACAGCAATCAGTCATAGAATTAAAGTCCAACTGAAACATTAAATTATTGATATGAATTATAAGTCACAATATAGTTGTTTATTTTTTAACAAAATTCCAATAATAGAAAGCTATTATTATTGGATTTCTGCCTCTATGGAACTCTGTCAAGTTCATTATTGTGGTAAACCAACATGGTATTCAATCCCAAAACAACGTGAAACTCCCAGAGAAATGTCCATGTTCTTCTAATCCCAAAAACAGACTTTTTGTCTTGTTTTCTCACACATGCCAAGGAGCCTCCAATCCTACCCCAATATGACGCATCACCTGCCCATGTAAACGTCTCCTCTAGTCCAACTCGATAAAAACCCCATCCTTTGGCTTTGCCCCCAGAGGAAGGAAAAACTTTCTTTGCACCAGCAATAAAGGCATGTTGGTTTTTTTTGTTTTTTTTTTTGTCATTTTGAGACAGGGTCTCACTACACAATTCAGACTGGCCTGGAGCTCCCTTGGTAGCCCAGACTGGTCTCAAACTTGCTGCAATCTTCCTGGCCCAGCCTCCTAAAAGCTGAGATTACAGGCATGTGTCACCACGCCCCATAGTCCTAACTATGCTGAAAATCCTTATGTGCTGGTGCTATGACTCAGATGGTTAGTGGGATGCAGCTCCTGGAGCTTTTTCTAGTTTGAGCTCCCTCCGCAAACTAGCCACCTCTTTCTCTGCTCTCTACCTTTGCCTTTGCCAGCCTCCATCCAACATAGGTCCACTTTGCCTCTCACAGGTGATCTGTCTCTCACTCTGGGAATTCCTGTCATACTGTCTGTCTCTGTCTCTGTCTCTGTCTCTATCTACCTGTCTCTCTCTCTCTCTCTCTCTCTCTCTCTCTCTCTCTCTCTCTCTCTCTCTCACACACACACACACACATACACATAACACATACACACTCTGACAAATGTGACAACCTTCTAAGGGCGTGTGACATGGCTTTTAGCCTTTAGCTCACCTTCAACTTGATTGCTACAGGAAATACTCCATCCCAACCCCAAAAACACACTCTGCTCAGGTGTCTCTTAAAAAACTTAAACATCCTAGGTCTCTGGAAGACGATAAAACCATAATGACTGATTTTTTACAGTCAGATGGCCTGGCCTTAATACAAACCCAATAATGACAACTTCTAGTCTGAGAAAGAAAGTTTTGATTTCAATATTCTCCATGATATTGCCAACTTCTGCTACTGATAAGGCAAATAGAAATCCCAGAGAGAGCCTAGCAGCATAAACACCTGCCTGGCAAGTATAAGATCCTGAGTTTGATCACTGGTTTAAAAAAAAAAAAAAACACCTAAAATCAGGCCAGCATGGTAGGCCACACCTGTAATCCCAGCACTCAGTAGGCTGAGGCAGGAGGATCATTGTGAGTTCAAGACCAACCTGGGCTACCTAGTGAGCTAAAGATGAACCTGAATGCACAGCAGGACTGTGTCTCAAAAAGACATTTTAAAAATCCCTTACATCCAATCCTTCTTTGTCCTCATCCATCTCTTATTCAGGAAAGTAGGGCAGCCCAAATTCTCTTGGTCTGCTCTACATTACCACCCCCCCCCAACCTCCTTGTCTGATCTCCAGCCCTTTTCCAGAACCTCTTAAATAAAGATGGCCCTTCTGCTTTTGCTCACCAACCTCCATGTCCACAACAACCCTCTCAATCTCAACCAGTCACTCCAATCCCATATCTCCCTCACTCCCCATCTTCAACTACTTCCTTTCTCCTCCAGCACACCATACCTGCATCTCACCCCTCCCACCTACTGCCAATTCTATAGACCCTCAATTCCACTATCCACTGCTGCCATCTTCTGGACAAACAATGTATCTCCAACCCCAACCTCTCCTTCCTATGGCCTATAGGGGGTTAATCCACATTTGTGTCCCTTTCACACCCTCTGACCTACCCAAAATTTCTCATAGGCTAGGTTTCTCTTCTGATGACACCCCATAATTATATAAAGAACTCCAATTTGTAATTAATTCCTATGACCCTCATTTTAAAGAGTTATATGTTATAGTCACCTCTACTTTGTCCCCCACCAGAAAAAAATATCTAGCTCTAGCAAGCCACTCAGGTGGAAGCCAACAAAAGATACCACACCAATCCTAACCACTCTGTGGGTGCAGCTGCAATCCCAGATGCTGACTCCCACTGGGACTATTGGGGGCCCAATAGCTACATGACCACTATGGCTGGCTGCCTTATTGCGGGACTTAAAAAAATTTCATGCAAGACCACAAATTATCAATAAACACAGTGCAACAGTGAAAACCTATTGAGTTTCTTTCCAGCCTCACCAACACCTTAGCCAATCTGCTCTCACATTTGTGCTAAATTTAAAAAGACAGGTCTTAGTCTTCAGATCCCACAGGCAGACCTTAATCTGGCCTTCCATGTCTTTAACAATAGGAAAAAAAATTAAAACAGGAAAAAGAACAGAACACTAAACTTAAATGCCAACTCTTGGCTGTGCACTCAGGGCTCCATAAAAAGCCAAAACTCAACAGAAGTGCACCCAAGCCTCTCCTGGCAGAGGATACTGGGCATGAGCCTGCCCAACCTGCAGCCACAACTGGGACCATCTGTAAACTTCAGCATCACTGGAAGTACAATTTCCCTGTCCTCAAGAGTGGGTAAATCATCTAACTCCCTACCCTTATATATTTCATCACTGCTGCCAGACTCATCACTAGCTGACCTTCTCGGTCTTACTGCTGAAGAAGATTGATATGCCTTAGGGTCCATGGCTCCAGTCAAGCTATCTTTCTCAGAGCCCTGAGTCTCACTGGATGTCTCAGTGGAACACTCTTGTTGACATGGGGGCCACATGGAGTGTTCTTCCTGAGATTTCAGACCACTGCACCAACCTATGATTTCTGTGGTGAGAGATGATGGCCAACCTACACAACCTCTCCAGATAGGACCCATCTCTTGCTGATCCCAAACCTTTTCTTTACCCATAAATTCCTTGTCATCTCAATTTACCCCACCACAACCCTCTTGGGTGGGGAATCTCCTACAAAAGCTCAATTTTTTTCACTTTCTGTCTTCCTATGGTACTCATCCCACAAACTCAAGCACTGTGTCACCAGTCCTTTCCCCCTCTTCCTCCCTCCCTAGTCAATCCAATAATCTGAGACATTTCCCTCCCCACTCATTCTACCCACCCTACCCTTGTAATAATTCACCTTAGAAATACCTTAGTCATTCCCTGTGTTCCACAATACCCAATAGACCCTAAAAATCAGCAGGGACTCAAACCTGTAATCCAATGCCTCTTAGCCAATGGTTTTCTCAGGACCACCCATTCACTTTACAGTACTCCTACTCTCCTTGTACTCAAACCTAACGGCTCTCATCTTTTAGTCCAAGATCTCAAAGCTATCAACAGTGTAATAACACCAGTTCTCTCAATAGTACCTAACCCTTACACTATGCTTTCTCATATTCCCCCATTCACTACTTACTTTATGATCCTAGACCTCAAAGATGCATTCTATAGTACCCACCTACACCTCAAATGACAAGATCTTTTCACTTTCACATGGACAGACCCAGACACCCTCTAGTCTTTAGAGCTCACATGGATAGTCTTACCTCAGGAGTTCAAAGATAGCCCTCACTTATCATTAAAATGAATAAAAAATTAAATACAAAAACAAAGATAGCCCTCTCTTCTTTAGCCAAGCCCTTGGTACTGACATCACAACTCTTGACCACAAACCCAGCATGCTTCTTCAATATGTTAATGATCTCTTCTGTTCCTCATCCCATGCTCTAGCCATATAACATACATACATACATCTACCCTTCTCAACTTTTCTCCTAAATCAGGGATATAGGGTTTCCTCCAACAAAGCTCAGATAGCCTCACTAAAAGTCAAATATTTAGGGCTCACTGTCCTACCACTCACTCAAGTACTACTGATTGCAAAGCCCTCCTTCATGGCCTCCAAGTGCCAACTACAAAGCAACAAGTTCTGTCCTTTCTTGTCCTAGCTAAGCTCTTCCACCTTTAGATTCCTAACATTGCTACCCTAACCCAACCCTTTAGGTTTTACCCAGAGAGAAACAGAGGCAGAAATGAAAAACACAGACAAGAAGACAAAAGGTGGGCTAGGTGGTGGCTTGTCTGCCTGGTTGGTGAGAGGAACCCACCAGCTCAACAAAATGATGTTTATTTATTAACCTTTGCAAAGCTAGTAACATGTGACACGAGTTTGCCTAGCAACTAATAGCTAGCCTTAACCAGACAGGATATTTATCTCAGGATGGAGGTAGCTTGTTTGCTTTAGGCACGAGGCCCAGTCCTACTATACATATTTGACCAATTTTCTATCTTTCACAGATCCCAGCATATCTCCCTTTTTTGTTTTGTTTTGTCAGTGCTTTTCCTTATCTATAAATTTTCCAAATTTCTTAGAACAAGCAGCTCTAAACGTGGTTCACAATTTAGCCATTACAAAAGATATGCTAACTGGGGAGGGTGCTTTTGCTAACACAATCAACTGACCTTTGCCTTGCAACTATGTGAGCAAACAAAGATATCTGTGCTTAGGGCCTAGAGGGAACTCCCTTGTAAGAGTTAAACATTCCTTAACTTGGCTTCTATTAGACAAGGCCCTGATTAACCTTTCCAAGATTTTACTGCACTTTTGTTGAAAGCTACTGAGAGGAATACCTCAGAAGCTAGTAAATTAATAGTTCAACAATTGGCCTTAGAAAATGCAATTAAATCATGTAAAGAGGCTTTATGAGCTCATAAACAGCAGGCTACACTGTCTGAGATCATTCAGATTTGTGCAGATATTTGCCCTCATACATACAGGGAGCTTCCTTGGCAGCAGCTATTACTCAGGTTATTTATCCATCATCCACAGTCTAAAAAAAGGAAAAAGAAAGCTTGTTTGTTTCCATTGTGGGGATGAGGGACATTTAGCCCAAAACTGTTCCGCTGCACCTAAGACTGTTAACACAGCCATTATCTATCTCTTCAACAAAACTTTCCAGTCCATGTACTAG